GCCCCCATAAACAGGATTTCTGGCATTCCACCCCGTCACCTCCTCCCATGAAGTCAAGAGCCATCATCCTCACCATCTAACACCTCCTCTAACTACATCCTACCATCAGCATGGATCAGAACAGGATTCCTCTCCTGTGCACCGCTAATTACTATAGTTTTAGTTTAGTTTCTACTATAGTTTTAGTTTTAGTTTAGTTTCTTCTAACACTAAATGCTAATAATTTATTGTTAATTCATTTGATATATTTTTTTCTTTTGTTGAAAATAGGTTAGTAGTTTAAAGTTATTCTGTAGGTCTAAAGTTTTTCTTTTATCTTAATGTCACCTACATCTTCTATTTGGTCCCACTTTTTTTTTGTTTTTTAGGTGTTTTTAAGTACTATTATGTCACAAAAAAGGGGTTTAAAAAAACATCCACACTGCTATAATGTAAATATGTGCTCCATGCTTTCCTCTCAAAAACAAAATAAAACACAACAAAAATATCAGCGGTGAGAAAATGGCAGTTAAGAAAGCATCTGATCATAGTGATGTGGATATCAAGTCATGTCACATTTATTTATATAGCGTTTTATACAATGGCTTGTTTAAAGCAAGCAGCTTTACAGTGTTAAACATGAAGAAAAAAAACAATGTCAGTATCACTTTCAATAAGAATTACAACTTAATTTTCAGTTCTTCGATTTCGCTTGTAATTACATCGGTATGTATATAAGTATAAGTATATATTGTTTACTTTTTTTGTGGCATAAAACAATTTTATTTTGTTGCAGTTCTTTTTATTGATTCAGAAGCCGCAGATTAGTTACCCACTGCAAACGCATCTTGTGTGAAAGCACAATGGCTGCTTCCGTACCGCATATGTACTGCAAACAGATTATGTGAAATGGGCGTAATAGTTTTTTCTGTCTTGTCTGTTGGTTTTTCACTGAAGTTAATAGTTTGTTGTTGTTTTTCCCCCAGCAGATTCATGATGCACCGAGCTGACAGCTGAAGCAATGCTGAAGAATATTCAGAGTATCAAATATTGTTTTGTCGTCTTTGTAAATCCTTTTTTTTTTTTACTTTACACTCTTTACACATTGTTTTAAATTCCAGGATTTAAGAAGAAAGCAAAAAAAAGTTAATATATTTTGTATCGTTCTTTGAGGAAAAAAAAAGTTTTTTCAATAACATCAGGTCCTGTCATCCTTTTTTTATTCAACAAACCTTCCAGCAATCACACTTTTACTAAAGCCATCTTTTTCCTGTGACTTTAAAGCCCAATGTATGCTTTGGTTTTTGCACACACACATGCATGAATACAGTGTACACTAGCATTTCAATGCATGCTCTATTTAATGTCTGTAGAGTGTTGCAGTGATGATGAGTTGTTATAGGCCAACCCGGAAGTTAGCATTACGGTGGTTCCCTTGGGGGAAAAAAAACAATAGTATTTTTTATTGGCTTCTGTAGCTTTTTCTATTGGCTGTAATCAACAAAAGCTAAATGTAGGCTATACTGCAGTCGCATGTAGGGTTTGTTAGGGGTAAACAGTTAAAGACCCAGAACCAGATATGATGAATGAAGACCCAGAGTCAGAATTATAATAAATTAAAGAAAAGATTTACTGAAGATAGTTTGCAGTTTCATCAGCAGAAGTCAGCTTCAAGACTCACACAGGAGTTCGTAGGCCGCCCCGCTTACAGTTACAAAGATCACAGCAATTATACCCTTCACCGAGGTCTAAGCTACGTCCTTGCTTCAATCTCCAATAATGCCAGTGGTTCCTTAACCTGTAACCAATAAGACTAGCACACACACCGACACAGCTTTTCCAAGGTTGGATTTGGCCAGGCTCTAACTACAAACAGGAGAGTCGTCTCAAAACATCAAGATAATACGTTCTTTCTCTCAAGGAGAGCTGCACTTTAGTCTGACTGGCAAGTAAGGTTTTATCAAAGAAATGGTCCCTTAAACTATTGGCTTCACTGGCCCCTTTATGTTTTAACACTTTGAAGACCTTTCTCAAACACAAAACAAGTCCCTATTTCATCTCTGGTAGTCGGGCTAAATGAGCAAGCACTGTTACTGCATTCAGATATCAAATACAAGAATTAAAGAATACATGAAAAGAACATTTCAGTAATCACAACTGGGAACTTCTATAACAAAGTAAAATCTCACAAGCCTAGAGAAGTCATTCAACTCATTTGATATTTAGAAGGGAAAATATTGATTAATACCTTGATTATAATCACTTATTCATTACATATACATTGAAGCAGCAGTGGACTCCAATCCACCCCCTTCAGGTTGCCAACTTTTGGACAGGAAAATAAGGTACAATCGTGGTTCTTTATAGGAAAATAAGGGACACTCCAAATATTTGTTCTGTACCACATAGTGCATGTCATTCCAGTGTCTGCAAGTCGGCCTGTGTAAAAAAGATGTATAAAAGGTTATCAGACATAAACACATTTGGGTCAATTCATGTCAAAATCAACCAAATTTCAGAAACTTTCCAGACTCAAATTTTTGATTTTGTAAATCCAAAAAGGCAAAATATTAAATGTTATGGATATATACTGTTTTGTAAAGGGGGGGTCAAAATGACAATTTTCACCTTGGATTTGGAGTCAGATTACAGGGGGTAAAAATGACTTTAGAACAGCATAATTTTATTTTTAAACAGAGATTGTTACGTCTATTAGTTAAATCTGTTGACTTTAATAATCTTTGTTTCATTATATGCCAACAGTGTCATGCTCTAGCCCACTTTTTGCCCAAAGTTTGTAGGCCTGTTACTCATATTAAAGATATCCTAATATACTTTTAGATTCTAATTCTTAATAAACTTTTCTTTTGGTTTCTTAATTTTAAAGGCCCAATATGTTTTTTTTTTCCCCCAGAGATATAGAGACGTGGCTCTATGAGTAAATTGGTACACATTTTCAATAGTTGCACATTTTCTGAGGAACAATGTTGAAACTAGAAATGTATCGGGGTTTTTTTCTATCAACACAATTGAACATTGCTGAGAGCCATAAATAGTATTTTTCCAAAGTTTGTGAGGCGTAAAAGTATTAAAGATATCTCAATGTCCTTCTATATTCTCATTCTTAATAAACTTCTCTTTTCTGATTTTCATTTTAAAAGCCCTATGGTTAAATACCATTGACATAATGTGGCTCCATGTTAAAATTATTGTAGCCTATTTTACCCATTTTCAATATCGCTACACCAACGGATATTACTGTAAATTTCATCAACCTCTATTCAAAACAATAAACTTAAAAAAAAAAAAAAAGATACATAGATGGTAGGCCTATAATATTTAAAAGCACAAGTCTGAACGTCTTTGAAATTTCAGCCAAAAAAAAAAGAAAACATTTAAAAAATGGCACTTGAACTATGCCTAGATGTTGTTGCAACTATGTAGGCTATAAATAAATGAAAATGCATATTTTTTTCAGATAAAGAGAACTTTAAAAGGTTTAGTGTGGGCTGTGTTTGGTGATTGAGACTTTTTTTTGGTTATTTTGTACAAGTTATTTTAAATTAAAATGTTTTTCTATATTTAACATGAACTTACAACAGTGAAAGAGGTCTTTCCTCAGGTAGAATATGTGCAGTCACCCAAACTGATCAGCCGGAATCAAAACGCGGAGAGTGAAAGAAGGAATTTGCCGTTAGCGCGAGTCCCGCTTGCTGTGAAGCGGGAGCGACCAGTCGGCAGAGGATTCTGCTGGGTCTTAAAGCCTTCCGTGAACGGCAATGTTCGCAAATCAAACAAGGATTTGTCTCAAAGTAATGCATCATTCTAAATCTAGAGCGTTTGCCTGAGAATAAAATATCATACTACACACATTTATACTAGGTAGAACTAGAACATACTTTTTTAACGGTCGCAATTAAGTACAAACATTTGAATTAAATCTAGGCTACTATAGTTCTGCAATTTTGGACGCAGCATAGGCCTACATACACGTAATATGTGTGTTTGTATAGAAATAATGAATGGAGGGGCCCAAACTTATCAACACGTCACCCATCAAGGACCTACCTGAATTTTTTTATTTTTTATTTATTTATTTATTTTTACTTATTTGTCCAAACACATTCTGCCCCTCATATAAATAAACCACCTTCGTTTAGAGTGCTATTCCAAAATCTAAATTAAACGTTTTGGTTTCTGAAATCAGGTAACTTGCTTTACAGGAAAGCTCATCTCTACATACTTTTTGTAATGCTTAGCCTATTATATAATAGTTGCCTGTGTGTTGTAGAGTGTTGTAGCAACGTGATCCACACCAAAAGGTAATTATAAATAATAGGTATAAGCAACAGAGCCTATTTATTGCCATTTAAATATCAATTAAATAGTCATGTGGTGGCAAATTCACTTTTAAAGTTACTTATTACAGTTTTTCAATTAATATCATATATGCAAAATAATTATACAAAAATAAATACATTTGTAGATAGAGTCCCAGATAGCACAAGTCTATTTGATGTGATGTTTACATCCGGAAAACGTGTTTGCTCATCTGCAATACCAATAGGACGTTTCCTGTCAGATGTCAAATAGACGTTTAGAAGATGTCTTTAAGATGTAATTAATGATTTAGAATGCATGTTAAACTGACATCTTCTAAACGTCTATCTGACAGGAAACGTCCTATAGACGTATTGCAGATGAGCAAACACTCTTAAAAATACGTCTTCCAGATGTAAACATCACATCAAATAGACTTGTGCTATCTGGGGTAGTAATCTGCGTGTCATGACAGTCAGCAACCCAAATATCAACTGTTTTCACGGCTAATTCAGTGCAGTCCTAAGATTTTTTGACTAGGGTTTCCTGAGAGATAGTCCTACGTTTTAAAGAAATGGCATAAACGAAATAACTACGTAAAAAGCAGCGTCTAATAAGTATGCTTTGTATATTTTATTGGGCGAACAGTTATGAAGTTGGGAACGTGATACCGCGCTTGTAGCATCCAGTAGAAAGCTGCGCGCGCTCTGCGGGGCGGGAGCTCGAGCGAACTCAGCACTGTCACATTTCACTACCATTCTGTCAAGAAACTTTAAAAACATTTTTGGTTGAGCTTATTTTACATACTCGAATAAGGTGGATGCTGACTCTGGTTGAGTGATTTGAAATGAAGTGCGTCCTTGGGTGTTACGTGCACTTCTGTGCAGGGGTTATTATTAGTCTTATCTTTCCTTTGGCTCACGGGACTCCGTCGAGGTATAGTCTGTTCCAGGGCAGTGCTTATTCCAGCTCTGTTTCAAGACAACGAAACAAGTAAGTAAATGTCAGCATATTTATGCAAAAATATGTCATTAATTAACAAATGCAGGAACACATGTGTACCGTATTACCGTTTTTTAACTAGCAAGATTAACGAACTAGAAATAGCATGCCTCTGGAGAACTAAGTTAAGAAACTTGATACAGTTTCGTAATTAATGTGAAACTAATGCAGGACAAATGACTAGAGCTACATTAACATTTGAACCTGATAACGAATAACTTACACAAGATTGTTTAAGTCATCAACAGGTAATAGCAGACATTTGATGTGGGTAAACTGTTAATAATTAGTTTATTATCTCCTATAGAACTAGCTCTGGATAATTTCTAAATGAGTTGGGTTTTTCCCCTCTAACTTCATCCTTATTTGTTGGCCTATCAATTTTCCCCTCACATTATTATTATTATGCTACTGTACAGGCCCCACTTAAAAAGAAGACAGCTTTCCTTTTCTCACTGAATCCCAGTCATAGAGACTGCACTGTAACATTTCGAGTCATCAGCCATAACCTTAAATGCCAAAAAATGGTAATCTATGCAGTGATTTAGACCTGGTACAGTTGTAACATATGGAGAGTTGTAACACCACCAAATCAGGATTACTTACTTCCTCACAGATCCCATATGCATGCTTGTCAATGCTATAAATAGGCACATGCAGATTTTATAAAGAAAAAAATATTTTGTTATTAATGTACATTTTTTTGACCAGCACTATATTTTGTTTACTTAAACTTTTGCAGATAAAAGAATTCAACTCATATTAGATTAAATTGTAGTTTATCAGGCAAAATATGATGAATTTTAACCTGCTAATTTCCAACCATTATGCTAATACGGCTAGCTAAACACTGGCTGACAGGGGTGGGGTGTAACGGGTGTAACACATCTTTTAAAAAAGTGTTACAACAATCCCCTTATATATAACTAAGAACAGTTTATTTTATAAATAATTTTACAGAATGCCAAGACAGTGGAAAAGAAAGATAGATCGAGGTGTGCCTGCCAGTGTTATTAAAAAAAAAAACTCATGAGGTTTCAAAGAAGTGCAGGTCAGTCAGATGTTTGACACACAAACTCACACACATATTGACAGTGTTTTTTAGTCGAGCCGAGTGTTCATTAAGCATACAGTAAATACTGTTAAGGAAGTTTGTTCTAGACACACACATGCACACACTCCTGAGTCAAACAGTAAGTGTATTTGAGCTGTGGTCAATCACAGAAAGAAAGGAATTGGTTTGGATTGTTTCAATAAACCTGTTTTTGAAGGGTGTTGCATGGTGTGGCCACTGCTTTTGCTTAATTGTTATTACTTACCCCGATCGTGGGGTAGATTGTAACAAAGGCGCAACATAAATGTAATATTCTTGCAGAGGTTTAAATTGGTGATTTGTGGGTTTTTTGTATAAAAGTTTGAGTTACAGATCCTGAAGCAAAAAGTGTTACAACCATACCCGGTTTCCCCTATTCCTCACAGACATATGGTTTCTTCTGTCTTGCTTCAATTATGCTTTTTTTTTTTACTTTACTTCTGTTCCAAATAATTAGTAATTTCTTCTAAAGGATTTGGTAATGGGTGCTACCCAGCTAATAAAATATGTTCTAAGAACATTCTGTTAACATTCCCATAAGCTATGAAGTTTTTTCTGAATGCTATCTGAACGTGCAAAACGTCCAGTTTTTAAAAGGTTTTAAAAGCATTACATTTTATCACTGTGCGAACATCATGGGAATGTTACTTCTTAATGTTCTCTGAATGTTCTGAAACAAGTATGTTCTGCAGCATTTTTAAAAAGTTAGACGAATATCCAACTAAAGAAAAAAGTGGAATGATGTAATTTTTTGCCTTACGACGTTTTATAAACATTATTAAAAACCAGATGACTTTGAACAAATGTGTTAGAGTTTATTCATAACTTTAAGAGAAACATTTGCCAGAAATGTCTGAGAATGTTCCAGGTTAGCTGGGTATTTTCTTGGGTGTACAGTATTTGTTTTGATTGTCCTTTACTCTTTTGCAGAAACTGGTGTGCATTTGTAGTGCATAAAAACGTGACATGCACAGTGCTGGCGGCGAACGAAAACATCATGGAGCCGCAGCTCCTGCCCTGTCCGCCGCATCATCCTGACTGCACGCAAGGGGTGATGTAAGTGTCTCTGGAGAGCGTGCAGTAGGCCGGGGGGTTTGCATAGACACTTTTATTGCTGGAAGTGACCAGAGATCAGATTAGATGAGATCAGAATGGATTGAAGTGGAATTGCTCCTAGTAGAACAAGCAATGCAGTTAAATTAGACCCATCGACTGGCAGGTCATTACTGTTTTATCAGTATCTGAATTATTTATGACCGCTGAAGTGCTAGGGGCCCGCACTAAACAGTTTTAGCTTGTGTACATTTTCCAGAGAACCTTTAAGAAATGTTGCAATTAGAATGTCCCGCATGTTCATGCGCATCTTGCCTTTAAAGCTGCACTCCAGATGTGTGTCACTGTTGGAGTAAATCATAATAAATTATGTACGTAATTCTGCACTTTGTTTATGTTTGCATGGCTCATGAAAAAAAGGAATGCCTCATTTTGCGGACAGAGTGGTTAGACAGCGAATTAGTAAGATTTTTTCAAATCTCACCGGACTAATGTTGTCACTTTGCTCTCTCTGAAACATGCAGCACACATTCAGGAGATGTGCTGCTTAGTAGTCGGTCGTAGTATAGTAGTATAACTTGTGGTAAACAAATGTCAAGTGTGAATTTTTTGTTTGTGTTTGTTTAAATACTTTCTCCATCCCCAGTTTAATGTGCAGGGACAACTATAATGAGTAAAGACATATAGTTCTGCTGATAATTATACATTTTTATAAACTAAGTTAGTTCAGGTTAAATGTCATTTTGTTGAAAAATCTATATAAAAAACATTAAAAAAATGATTAAAATCTGTACACTCAAGTGTATTCAAGGTGTAAGGAAAATGTCATTTACTTGATCGTTACACCATAAGGCACGACATTTCTTGAAAATGGTATAAAGGTTTTTCAAAACAATATGAAACCAAGATGACCCTTGTGAAGAAGTACTACTTAGCACACTTTTAAAAAGAGTACTTATTAAGGAAATAATATACTTTAAAACAATACACTTACGTGTGAACTGAATGTTATGTTTTCAGACAAGTGTGTATGTCAGGTTAAATTTGTAATTAGGATTAACACAAAATAATTAGGGGAAATGCACGTTTGACAAGTTGTTGTATTGTTTTGTATGATTTTCGATACCTAAAGGCAGAATATAAGATGAAAAAGTTATTTTCAGGACTCACTTAAAACTGCTCCTCCGCCCAAACGGATCGCTTGACTTCATAAGAGGGAGACGTCTCCCCAGAGCGCTGAGAAAGTGAGTCTGTGAGCTGTGTTGATAATTGTACGAGTGATAGAATTAGTGATTAGGACATTTATTTATTTAGTTAGCTATTTAAGTTAGGTAGTTAGTTAGGTATACGCAGGCGTATTTTCACAATGGTGAATTACTGCGGTAGTGCTGGGTGCTAAAACCGGTCACAGAGTCCACTTTTTCCCAAAAAGCAGGTCTGTGTTCCGTGCCTGGGTCAACTTTGTTCGGACCAAACGCGCTGACTTCAGTGCTGCTTCGGTATCCAAGACTTCGGTCATTTGCAGCGCACATTTCTTCCAGTTCCCTATCAAGGCTACGGAACTTCGACATTACGGATGTCGTATATGGGAACTCCTCTCCTCCTTCACTTCCGCTGAAATCTTATAGGCTAACGCCAGCAGAGCTGGCCAATTGACGCAAATATGCAAATACTGAACATGCAGTATAAATACAAATGCAGCGTCAATCCTTCTTTAGAATCTCTCTCTTCACGCTCAAATCGTGTGCTAGATAGCTGATACTACAACAAAACTTAAGGATTTTTCACGCCGTCGTCGAAGGTGCGCCGAAGATACGTTTACTGTCTTCTGCATCCGATGGCGACTATCTGCAACTTGTGCTCGGGCCCCATCGTGCCCCCGGACACGCACCTGTTCTGTATCGCGTGCATGGGGCTGGCCCATGCTGAGTCGGCCCTCGAGGATGGCGGGTCGTGCGAGCACTGCGCGGACATGTCCCTTCGAGCTCTCAAGGCCAGGCGGGATGAGGCTCGTGCAGCTGCGGGGATTGGGCCCACTGCCGCCACCGAGCCGCTGGTGGGCCCCCCCCAACCGCGGAGTCGAGATACGGCCTCCGGTGAGTTTCCCCGATGCCACCTTTCGCCCCCCTCGCGAGGTCGCGGACTTCGTGTCTTTCGGGGTGAGCGAGGAGGAAGACTCCATGTCTCTGTCTGCCTCCGAGACCGACTGGGGCGCGGAACAGGCCGCCCCGGACTTAACGGCATCGGAACAGGACACCCCGGCGGACCTGCAGGACGAGCTTTTTCGCATCCTCTCCAAGGCCGTCGAGGAGCTGGACCTCTCTTGGAAGGCCCCGGATGAACCGTCCAAGAGCAAGCTAGACACGTGGTTCCTTCAGTCGAGCCGCCGCCAGGCCGCTTCGAGGAGAGGAACCCCGTTCTTTCCTGACGTTCATGAGCACGTCGTGAAGTCGTGGGCGGCCCCGCAATCGGCGCGCACCCTCACTTCCACCCAGGCCATGTTTGCCCCCGTGGACGAGGCGGGGGACCACGGCTACCTCCGAATCCCCCCCGTCGAGGAGACCGTAGCCGCGCATCTCTGCCCATCGGCTCCCGCCCTAGGCTCGGACCGCAGCCTGCCGTCCAGAGCCTGCAGATTCACGGCCCACCAGGCGAACAAGGCCTATGGAGCGGCGGGGGAGGCGGTGTCTGCACTGCACGCCATGGCCGTGCTCCAGGTGATGCAGGCGAAGCTGTTGAAGTCTCTGGATGGCGCCGCCTCTGTCGACGCTGACGCCATCCGGGACCTTCGTTCAGCCACGGACCTCGCGCTCTTGGCCACGAAGCGCTCGGCCCAGGCGGTAGGCCGTTCGATGGGGTTCATGGTGGTCCTCCACAGACACCTGTGGCTCACCCTTTCCGACGTTCAGGAGGCTGACAGAAAGACGCTGCTGAACGCACCGATCTCCCCAGCAGGCCTGTTCGGAGATGCCGTCGAAAAGGTCACCGAGAGATACTCTGAGACCCAGAAGAAGGCAAAGGCGATGAGTCACGTCATCCCTCGAAGGGCGCCGCCGCCTCCACCGCAGCTTCGCTCTAGCTCGTCATCCGCCTCGGGCCGCCAACCTCAAGCGGCGGCGAGACGGCAGTCAGCACCTCGCCAGGAGCCGGATGCTCACAGAGGGCGGAGCAACCAGTGGCAGGGTGCGGGGAAGAAGCGGACGGCCCAGAGAAGCCCGCGCAGGAAGGTCGTTGCGTCTCCAGCGAGACCCAAGAAGTCGTCCTGACCGCCCGGGCAAGAGGGGAAGAGAGCGCCAGGCCGGCCCTGCTCCAAAGCGCCGCGCTCTTCAGCACCTAGTCCCTCGGCGTTTCACGAGCGACGTGTGCGATTGTTTTGTAAATGCTGTTGCATGTGTGTGTTCAATAAAACAAAATACTTGTTCACAAACAGAGTTTTTTTCCCCTCCTGCACCACACACCGTGTTACCCGCCCTGCCAACGAGCAGCGCAGAGTCACGGTTGTTAACTATAAGGGCACCTCGCGGCCGCGAGGTGTTCATTCACAGCCCACACACAGCGGCGATGACCGCAGGTTTAGATCAGCCCACACTGAGTCACTTTCAGGCAGCGTGGGAGGCTATTCCGGGCATTTCACCGTGGGTCCTAAATATAATTCGGCACGGGTACACACTTCAGTTCAAACGCAGACCACCCCGCTTCCGCGGCGTAATTCAGTCGTTAACTTTGCCCCAAAACGCTCAATCTCCTGAGGCAGGAAGTGTGCAGCCTGCTCGAGAAAAAAGCGATAGAGCCGGTTCCCCCGAGCGAGTGGGAAAGCGGGTTCTACAGCCGCTATTTCGTAGTGCCGAAGAAGGGAGGGGGTCTCCGCCCCATTCTGGATCTGAGACTCGTCAACAGAGCGCTTCACAAGCGCGCGTTCAGGATGACTACACTGAAACAAATCCTGGCGCAAATTCGCCCCGGAGATTGGTTCGCTTCGGTGGATTTAAAGGACGCGTACTTTCATATTCAGATTGTAAAGCGCCACAGACGATTCCTGAGATTCGCATTCGAGAATTCAGTGTTCCAGTATACGGTACTCCCGTTCGGACTAGCCCTCGCCCCCCGTACTTTTTCGAAATGTGTGGACGCGGCACTCTCACCCCTCAGATCGAGCGGGATGCGTGTCTTGAACTATCTGGACGACTGGCTGGTTCTCGCACAGTCGAAAGAAGCGTTGGTCAGCCAGGTGGATACCCTCCTTCGGCACCTGGAGGTGCTCGGTTTGAAGGTGAACGCCCAGAAAAGTGTGCTCACACCGAGTCAGACGTCCTCATTCTTAGGAGTATGCTTGGACTCGGTGAGGATGAGAGCGCGCCTCTCCCCCTGAGCTCTTCTCTCGGTCTCTTCAGACCTGGCAGGCTCGTCCCACTGAAAGAATTTCAGAGGCTACTGGGTCGAATGGCAGCGGCTTCATCAGTGTGTCATCTGGGGCTGCTGCATATGAGACCGCTTCAGCTCTGGCTGAAAGCACGCGTCCCCCCGAGTGCGTGGTATTCCGGCCACATGCGCATTATGGTCACCCGCGGATGCGCCCGCGCCCTGGCCCCGTGGAAGAACCTAGATCTCTTCAGCTCAGGCGTCCCTCTGGGTATAGTGACGCGGCGCGTGGAGGTCCTGACGGACGCTTCGTCCACCGGATGGGGAGCGGTCTGCTTGGGGAAGCCCGCCTCGGGTCAGTGGTCAGAGGAGCAGATGGGATGGCACATAAATCGCCTGGAACTGAGAGCGGTCTCTCTAGCCCTAAAAACCTTCCGGTCGCGGCTGGAGCAGAAACATGTGTTGATTCGAACCGACAACACTTCTGTGGTCTCGTACATAAATCGTCAAGGTGGTGTACATTCCAAAGCTCTTTTCAAGCAGGCGGAATCCCTTCTGCTGTGGGCGGACCAGTTTTTCCTCTCGGTGAGAGCGGCTCACATCCCCGGTGTTCTAAATCGCGGGGCGGACATGCTCTCGAGGAGCGGAATTCCTCAAGGGGAATGGAGGCTTCACCCTGGGACGGTTCAGCTGGTATGGAATCGTTTCGGCAGGGCGGAGGTCGACCTCTTTGCGACGAGCGAGAACACGCACTGTCGGACGTTCTTCTCGCTGTCCCGTTCCTCTCAGGAGGTGGACGCGCTAGCTGCGCGTTGGCCGAAAGCCCGTCTCTATGCTTTTCCTCCGGTGAAGATTTTGCCCATGGTGTTGTGCAAAATCAGGGAGGAGAGGGCGGCGGTGACTCTAATAGCCCCGAACTGGCCGAATCAGCCATGGTTCGCAGATCTGGTGGAGTTACTGGCGGGGCAGCCATGGGAGATTCCGCTCAGGAAGGATCTGTTATCTCAGGCGAGTGGAACGATCTGGCATCACAGCCCCGGACTGTGGAATCTTTATGTGTGGCCGCTGCAGGGTCGCTGAGCGGGCGAGATGCGCTTCTCTCGCGTGCTTTGGATACCGTAGAGGAAGCGCGAGCCCCGTCCACCAGGCGCCTATACGCTCTGAAGTGGGGTGTTTTCTCTAAATGGTGCCAGGATGGCGGTACAGACCCAGCGAACTGCTCTGTGTCGGTTATTTTACGCTTCCTGCAGCACAAGATGGATGAAGGGAGCCTGCCATCCACTCTGAAGGTGTATGTGGCTGCTATTGCGGCGTTCCACCCCCCTGTTGACGGACAGTCTATCGGTAGACATGTGTCGGTGACACGGTTCCTCAAAGGGGCTAGGAGATTATGCCCTGCGCGTCCGCCTTCGGTACCGCCGTGGGATTTAGCATTGGTCTTGGAGGCTCTGTCGCGCCCGCCCTTTGAGCCTTTAGCTTCTATCGCTATTAAGGAGCTTTCGGTCAAAACGGCACTGCTTCTCGCTCTTGCTTCGGCGAAGCGAGTTGGGGATTTACAGGCTTTCTCTGTGAGTGATGACTGTATTCGCTTTGGACCGGGAAACCGTAATGTAACCCTCAGGCCGAGGCCGGGCTATGTCCCTAAGTCGCTCAATACCCCGTTCAGAGCGCAGATCGTTTCTCTGCCTGCTTTGTCTGCTGAGCCATCGTCCTCCCTGGGTTCGGATGCTCAGAGTGCTATTTGCCCAGTCAGAGCGCTCCGGGAATACATTTCTCGCTCGGCCGCTTTTTGACAATCGGACCAGCTGTTTGTGTGCTTTGGTGGGTGCAACAAGGGACGGGGGGTCTCTAAGCAGAGGCTTGCTCACTGGATCGTGGACGCTATTGTTTTGGCTTATGTTTGCCAGGGGCAGGAATGCCCCCTTAACGTCAGAGCTCATTCGACTAGGGCGGTGGCTTCTTCATGGGCTTGGACTAAGGGTATGTCCATTCAGGATTTATGTCTTGCGGCTGGCTGGTCTTCTCAGAACACGTTTGCCAGATTTTATAAGCTGGACTTGCCCTCTGTAGCGTCTCGTGTACTTTCGGTGAGTTGATTTTTTTGCACAGTATATGAGAGCTTCTCTGCGCTGCGCTCATGAGCTGCTCTGTGTGTTGTGTTTTACTGTGTCACCGCTTGCGTTGGCCTTCTTACGGTTGTCGTTGCCCTGACTGATAGTTAGTGCAAACTTCCCCGGTTATACTGCTCGGGATATGCAAATTCTGGCAGTGTTTTGCGAGCTTGTGAGTGGTCCCTTTGGGCCTATCAGAGGTTAGAGGTTCGCTATTGGCCAATCTCAGCCTATCGGAGGCTTGCATACTGGGGGGCGGTCTTATGTTGGGTCTGTTGCCTGTGGTTTGTTTATGCTGCCACGGCGGGATTTTATACAGTTCCCATATACGACATCCGTAATGTCGAAGTTCCGTAGCCTTGATAGGGAACGTCTCCGGTTACTTTCGTTACCTCGGTTCCCTGAAAGGCAAGGAACGAGACATTACGCTCGCCGCCGTGTTCGCTATTGATTTAGCGTTCGTTCGATTCTAAAGAAGGATTGACGCTGCATTTGTATTTATACTGCATGTTCAGTATTTGCATATTTGCGTCAATTGGCCAGCTCTGCTGGCGTTAGCCTATAAGATTTCAGCGGAAGTGAAGGAGGAGAGGAGTTCCCATATACGACATCCGTAATGTCTCGTTCCTTGCCTTTCAGGGAACCGAGGTTACGAAAGTAACCGGAGACGTTTTTATGTTTCCACTGTTCGATCGCGCCCGCGTGTCTCTCTCTCTCTCTCTCTCTCTCTCTCTCTCTCTCTCTCTCTCTCTCTCTCTCTCTCTCTCTCTCTCTCTCTCTCTCTCTCGCGCGTCTCTCTCTCTCTACTTTAGTGCTGCTTCACACACACACACACACACACACACCAACACCAACATATTCCAGCATTGCAATCTTGACATCGAAGCCTGTTCATTATAGCCACGGAGCTTTAGAGCTAAGGCGGAGCTACAGATTATGTGTCCCTAAATCACCCGCGTATCTAACAGTAGTTCCGCATTAATTATTTTGCACGCGAGTTTTATTTATTTTTATACTCGTGTATTCATGCACTGAACCGTGACGCCCGTACCGTTTCGGTATACATGTACCGTTCCACCTCTAAGTTATGCCTATATGCACCTGCCCAACTCTCCACTGGTTATCTTCACACCAGATATTTATGTTTCTTCGATAGGAATTATTTAAATTTCTGTTTGCCTCCTCATCTGTCTCACGCCTGGGAAGCTCAAAAGTGTATGGCTGTGGGGGGATTTTGAGGGGGATTTTGGATCTGCTCAGACTCAAAACTCCCCATACTTGAATAGAACGTTTGTGGCACGACTCCCTCTTCTGACGTCACAGCTCAGCTGTGTTTTAACCCTTTCACGCGTACGTTCACACCGGTATGATCAGTCTTGGCTGGTCCCTGGAGCATACGATCACACCGGTGTGATTAGAACGGTCGGTGCATCACGTGATCAACTGCTAAATTCAAACGTGCTTTCGCGCGTTGGCTGGCGCTGAGCCAGAGACGGACACACTCAGTGCTGTCATATATCACAACTATTGAGAATTTTAAACCACATAATGTTTATTTTTATGTTTCAGACATTTAAATACACATAAGAACTAGCAAAACAATGATTTTGAGTTTGTAAAATACACACTGATGTCTATGGAAGCTCCTTTCCATTATAATAAGACAAAACGTTTTATTCATATCAGATACACAGTGTGTAAGTAGCTTTACATTTTACCCTATTCTTCTCCCAGTTCACTGGCCACTTACTTTCATGTATTTCGTGAGAAGCAACAGATCCGATTCTCTGAACTGTGAAACAAACTAAAATGGCGCCGCCCATCGCGCATACAGCTCAGCTAACGCGATCGTTATAAAGGTGTTTAAACAACAAAAACATATCAGTGTTTCATGCTATAACGAATACATTTGTGAATATTTTGAATAGAAAAGGAAGAAAGACATAAAAGCAGATCATCATTCATTCAGCTCTGTGTTGTGATTGCGCTGTGTCACGTGACAAGCAATGACGTGTCACCATGGAAACATTAAAGTGGCAGGTATAACGGTCACCTTGAAAAACTCACGCTCGGGGGTCAGTTAGAATATTTTAAACTTACGTGTGAAAATATGATCTTGACAGAAATGGCTATAAAGCTTACTGTAGGGTAATTACAGTAATAATTTTAATGATAATTACATTTTCACTCAGACATCTAACCCTTATTTAATATATCTAAAAAAAAAATTTAACCTGACATAGACACTTTAATTGCATGTGAATAGCAATTAAATGAAAATATATTATAGTTTAAATTTATATTAAATGCCATTAGCTGAACTTTAAAGTGTTTTTGACCCACCCACTTAAGAACAATTTTTATGTACTTTCATAATTGCTTCTATTGTAATATTAAAGTGTATTGCCAAATGTACTGACAAGCATTTATGATGAACAGAAATATTCGTAATATGTAATTTATATTGAAACTGGTATGTTAGTAAATTTTAAATATATTAACTTTAAATGTAATATCAAATAACACACTACAGTTAAAATTATAATCAAGAACTTTACATGTGCTTTAGTATGTTAGTCAACACATCAAAATAAGTGTACTTCTTTAAAGAAGACATATCATGAAAATCGGACTTTTCCCGTGTTTAAGTGCTATAATCGGGTCCCCGGTGCATCTATCTACCAACCCAGAAAACATGAAAAGTGAAAACTTTGTTTTGGTAAGCCTTTCTCTGCAAGCATGTAAAAAAAATAAGCAGACCAGATTTCACTCCCCTTCTGACGTAGGAAGAGGATCTTATTATAATATTACCGCCCCTTAATCTGCACGTTTCCACCCACGGCGCCGCCATTTGGTTTCGCAAGCGACAACAACGTAACCAGCTCTAACGCAATGGCAAAAGTTCGAGTAAAGCATGCAAACTGTTCTGTCGTTGCTGTAGGAATCTGAGGCCAAAACAGTGTATTGTATTACAGGTACCTGTGAAGTGCATACTTTTAGTTCATAGTTTAAATTGAATCGTATATCTGCTTTTACCATCACAATTCATAACTGTCTTTCTAGGTATCATACTCCCCTGAGACCCATGTACAAAATAGGCTACAAACAAGTGACTGAACTGGAATGGAGGTGTTGCCCAGGATATCAAGGTCATGACTGTACAGAGCTGAAAGTTACCCCAGAGAAACCCAAAGTTGTTGAGGAACCACGTCCAGATGCCCCTTCCGCCAACAGTCAACAACAAAGTATACTGGGTACGTATTTTTAATTACTTTGGATTTGAAAAAAATGAAATGAGCAATATCTAAAGCTGCAGTCCATAACTTTTGGCGCTGTAGTGGTTAATAAACAGAACTGCATGCTTCTTGTGGAAGAACATTGTAGCCCGAGCTACTTCTCTCTGTTTATGTCTATGACGAGTCACGCAGGTACTGGGCTACTCCACAGTGGGACGACCCGTCCCAGTCTAAAATAGTCCCAATATTTATATTATATTCTGTTTATTAACCGCATAAGACGTAGATTAAAGCTGCAGTCCGTTTATAAACACTTGTTATAGGTGTACCGTTGTGATTCAGGATAAGACAAAAACACGGTTTGGAATATGGATTCATGATGTACTCGCTTATATAAATGTAGTAGTACATTTTTAATACAAAAAAAGTTACAGACTGCAGCTTTAATCTACATTAGTACACTCATAAAAAGTAATTCAGGTGACCAATTACCACAACTTCAATTAAACCATGGTTGCAAGCAATTCAATTAGGCCTTTTTAGTTTTTTTAAACTAAACGTTATTTTGATGAGTTCTGTTGACATAATAATGTTGATTATATTACATAGGGTTGGGTATCATTTGAATAATAATGATTTTGATTCTGTTTATCGATTCCTATTCTTATTAACTTGGATATCATTCACATTTATTCTAAGTCTTACTGCAAAACATTTCATTGTAGCTGAATATCATGAACAAAAATCAACAGGCTAAACAACACTTACACAAGGAACTTTTGCCTGGTTTAAAAATACAATAGCAAAAACAACTAGCCTAACTAATATGATTTTTTAAGCATTAATAAAGACAAGTGAACACTCAGTTATTAAAAAATTAAAAATAAATTAGCAATCGCACAAATAAATAGAACTAAACAAAGATATGATTTTCAGGTATTCAGATTATTTATTAAAAAAGTTATTTAGTAAAGAACAGCGAGTGAATATTCTTTGTCTTTTGTTGTTTGATAACGTTATTATAGAGACGGCAGGAGGAATATTAGGCTACTGTCACTTTAAGAGCTGCACTGATCCAATATACTATTATGCGTTTTCTTTGTCAACTGTTTACGTTCATTTACGTTCAGTTTGAAGTTGTTTGGATTAGAAATGCAAAAGATATCGTTAAATATATTGGTAAAAGAAGCACACATTGGCTTTTGCCGCTCTAGCCGCTGACCACTCCCCCTCTCACACTACAACTGAGTGGCCTCTCCACCTCTCACACTGCACACTGAGTGGCCTCTCCCCCTCTCACACTGCACACTGAGTGGCCTCTCCCCCTCTCACACTGCACACTAAGGCCACTCCCCCTCTCACACTGCACACTGAGTGGCCATTTCCGCTCCTACACTGCACACTGAGTGGCCTCTCCCCCTCTCACACTGCACACTAAGGCCACTCCCCCTCTCACACTGCACACTGAGTGGCCACTCCCCCTCTCACACTGCACACTAAGGCCACTCCCCCTCTCACACTGCACACTGAGTGGCCATTTCCGCTCCTACACTGCACACTGAGTGGCCACTCCCCCTCTCACACTGCACACTAAGGCCACTCCCCCTCTCACACTGCACACTGAGTGGCCATTTCCGCTCCTACACTGCACACTGAGTGGCCTCTCCCCCTCTCACACTGCACACTGAGTGGCCTCTCCTCCTCTCACACTGCACACTGAGTGGCCTCTCCTCCTCTCACACTGCACACTGAGTGGCCTCTCCCCCTCTCACACTGCACACTGAGTGGCCTCTCCCCCTCTCACACTGCACACTGAGTGGCCATTTCCGCTCCTACACTGCACACTGAGTGGCCACTCCCCCTCTCACACTGCACACTAAGGCCACTCCCCCTCTCACACTGCACACTGAGTGGCCATTTCCGCTCCTACACTGCACACTGAGTGGCCTCTCCCCCTCTCACACTACAACTGAGTGGCCTCTCCCCCTCTCACACTGCACACTGAGTGGCCTCCCCCCCTCTCACACTGCACACTGAGTGGCCTCTCCTCCTCTCACACTGCACACTGAGTGGCCTCTCCTCCTCTCACACTGCACACTGAGTGGCCTCCCCCCTCTCACACTGCACACTGAGTGGCCTCTCCTTCTCTCACACTGCACACTGAGTGGCCTCCCCCCTCTCACACTGCACACTGAGTGGCCTCTCCTTCTCTCACACTGCACACTAAGGCCACTCCCCCTCTCACACTGCACACTGAGTGGCCATTTCCGCTCCTACACTGCACACTGAGTGGCCTCTCCCCCTCTCACACTGCACACTGAGTGGCCATTCCCCCTCTCACACTGCACACTGAGTGGCCATTCCCCCTCTCACACTGCACACTGAGTGGCCACTCCCCCTCTCACACTGCACACTGAGTGGCCTCTCACACTGCACACTGAGTGGCCTCTCCCCCTCTCACACTGCACACTGAGTGGCCATTCCCCCTCTCACACTGCACACTGAGTGGCCATTCCCCCTCTCACACTGCACACTGAGTGGTCACTCCCCCTCTCACACGGCACACTGAGGCCACTCCCCCTCTCACACTGAGGGCTAGGCTAGGCCTAGGCTATTCAGCTACTCAAACATACCAAACCAACAATTACTAAAAAACACACAAAAACAGATTTTGCACGGGCATTGCACTAGTGTTTTTAATTCCAGTGGTACTGGTGGATTTCCGTGGGAAATTCGAGCATGTTTTTGTGTCATTACGTCACATCTGTACACATAAAGAAGGAGTCTCGGCTAGTAGCCTATGTGAGGATGTTGAAGGTGGAGATTTATAGCCTTTTCTCACAGCACTTGATATAATTAAACTTATCAATTTGATGGCAGATCCAGAAAGGTTCAAACGACAATCACCAGTGACAACTAGAGAATCACCCGTTGTAAAATGAGAAAGACTTCGGAGTGGCTACAGAAAAAAAGAGACTGCAACCGGCCCATGCGAAAACAAGGATAAATATCGGAAGGGCATTAAATGTAGTCACGCAATGCTGATGTTGTTAACATTAACAATTTGTTTTGTTAATGTTTTTTTCCCCTTAGTTGGTCAGAACTAGAACAAAAGTGGATGTTACTTACTTGTTCAGATGAAAATTATTATGTTGGTCATACTTCCAAAAAGAATAATCTGTGATTCTGAATGCCAGTATGCACACCGGCGTGGTGACTGACAGCCACACACTCTCCTCAAACATTGGATTCATCCACGCTGTGCCGTGTCGAGGCACAACTCATGTAAAGTTGATAATTCCGCGAATAACTGCAATTTGCAGATTTCGAACAGAGAAAATTGAAAATTGGGCAAATGATAAAATTTGGGAAATAATAATAATTTGAAATATTTATTTCAGACTGAATTTTACAAACAGCACATCTCTCTCTCTCTCTCTCTCTCTCTCTCATGGGCACAGTGAGTTGTGTGTAAAGGAAGCGCAATCTCGCATGTTTTTGAACATGGACTGCTGGGTCCATGCTTGGATGCAACTAAACTTGAATGCAACTAAACTTTCGCTTGTGATTAGAAAAAAAACTGTCTATATAATGCCATATCTACACTGACAGCGCACTCGTTCACAATACAACATGATTGATAGAAAAAGACAGCGAGATATATATCTAACTGCAGAACCACAGAACAATATTTCACAGCAGTCTGAGGACAGCAGTGCCAGGGCAGCAGCATCAGCACCAAAGTAAAGGTGGCGCTGACGATCACTTATCCCGCCCCAACCACTAACCCTACCCTTCACTATAACTATAAGCTCTACCTTAACGAATGCCCAAATCTCGTAGCTTAGCTCAAGTATCGTGATAATATTGTATCATGGGGCCTCAGGTGATTTCCACCCCTAATAAGTGCATGTAATTTTGGTTTGTTCTAGGACCAGAAGTGTTCTCTGAGACACATCCATGGTCTCAACCTGGGCAGAAAGAGCATCACAACGCTCAACTGGGAGGTTATGGAGATCGCCAACACGAGAGTCGCAGAGTTCAGGTATTAGAAGAAGAGGTGGAGCGTCTTTCTCAGACAGTACTAGACCTACAAGCTATGACGTCAGCCAATGCAAACTTACGGTTAGATTTACAGGAAGATGTTACCAAATTCATTCTAAACACATTTGGGAATTTGCAACAGCCACAGGATGTCAAGGCGGGTGAAATTGAGACCATTGTGTTGCCATCAGACCTCCGTTTATCATCAGATACTGATGAACTGCAAAACCACATTACCCAGCTCTCCAACACAATCAGTTCCAATACTGATAGTATCCAAGATCTGCAGATTAGGATCCAAAACATTGATGGACAGATGCACCGACTAACAGAATCAGCCAGTACTGGACCACTTCAACCCTCCTCAACTGCTGCAACCAATGAGTGTCCATGTCAGGCATACATCAATGAGAAGCTTTCTGCCCTTCGTGAGGAGCTTCTTCAAGGAATGGACATCAAAATAGCAGACATGAAGAATGCATGTGACTACAAAGTACTGTCTGTTCAGGAGCAGTGTGAGGAACAAGAAACCTCTTACTTAAGCTTGGCCGAGCTCCTTGATTCTAAAGAGACTGAACTCCGCAAAGAGATCCAAGACTTGCGTCTCCAACTTCCCATTGGAAAAGACCCAGGGATGGACAGTTATGAGGTCCAGAATCTCAAGGACACCCAGCAGATATTGAAAGATGCCATTAGGCAGCAGAATGCCACCCTTGCACAGATCGATGCACAAGGGCATATTCTGGAGGCAAGGGTTAGTCTTGCGGAAAAGAGTACAGAGGTACATTGCCTCTATATTGAGGAGAAACTAAGAAGGGAAAGACTTAAGGAAATGGAAGATCAAAGTATAGCCTTGGAAGAGAAAATAAATGCTGTTCAACATGAAAACAGCACTTCACAGCTACTGACCACAGTTTTAGGTCATGACCAACGCCTAGATGTCTTGGAGAAGCATACACAGCAACTGCAGGACAAGGTTGGCTCTCTTGCACAGCAGATTAAGACCGAGATCTCTGTACCAGACCTCAATCAATCCATAACTTTTGAAATTCTGCTGCAACGGGTGGAAAATCTAGACGTGGATTTTGGGCGAAGCCAAGAGCAAGTGAGGACAATGAATGGCTTGCTTAATGGTCTTGATGGACGGGTGGCTGGCATTGAAGGCATTTGCGGACGGTTTGAACCAATGTCTGATAGTCTCAAACGAATTAAAGACGGACTGAACAAACACGTTACTGGCTTATGGACTTGCGTCCGTCAACTGAACAATACAGTTCTAACACATTCAAGAGACATCAACGTGTTTAAAGCAAATTCACACCTTTCAAAAGACAGGCAGGATGGGATCACTAATGCACCTACAGGTAAGCAATGCTCCTCTGGGGACAACATTTATATTTAAACACTATATTATTACATTTATACATTTGGCAGATTATTTTGTCGAAAGTGACTGACATTGCATTCAAGGTACACATTTGATCAGCTATTGCTTTCCCTGGGAATTTAACCCATGACCTTGACATGGCTTGCGCCATGCTCTGCTTAATGAGCTACAGGAAGAAAATGACTAAATTGTAATTTTGCAGACTAGTTTATCCAAAGAAGCAGTGCAGTATTTGCATGGGCAATTGTACTTGAAGGACTTGGAGTTTCAGGAGCCTATTTCTATTGGAAAATTGATGGAGGGTATTTAAAATGAGACAAAGACATCAGTAGGGACTTGAAATTGTCCTTCTCCACCATAATATGCAAGACCGAAGGGCTGAACAACTAGTTTACATGATCAATTTCAAATGCAGCAGTTCACAAGACAAGTAAACATAGACCATGTAAAAAAATGATTGAAAAAGGCTGCAGGTGAAAAAAAGAAAGTTCTTAATGAAATGGACAGTACAAAAATCCACACAAAGCACATTTTTGGAACCACAACTAACTAAAGGTGATGATACACAGGGCAACTTTCTGAGCAATGTTGCTGGGCAATCTTGCCGAGCGATTGTTGCTTGGGCACTTTCCCATTGAAAATGGGCAATACATTTCTATCTGGATAATTTAGATCAGTCGTGGGCCCTGTGTCTCATCTGGTTGCCTGTTGACGGCAACATTGCCCATCAACATTGCTCAAAAAGTTGCCCTGTGTATCATCACCATAAAACTGTAAGTCTTCAATAGTGTAGAAAAGCAAAGACAGTAGTGAGCTGCAACAGACAGACACAGCAGTGTCAAGTCGGAAGTCATTATCCTACTTGTAGTCAGAGGTTCCTTAAGTCAGAGGTTAAGGAATTATTAGAAATTGATGTGAATTTTTGTAACCAATAAAAATTAAACCAACCATTTTTTTATTTTAAATGAAGATAGGACTGTTTTTGTTTTTATGTACCATTTTACATAATCTATTCTACACCATTATTCCTAATTCTTAATGTTAGTACTCATTTTTCCAGGTTAATCTTTCAAACATTATTCAAGAAAACTATAACTATATACTAAAACTAAGTCTATATGCATCAGATTTTCCTGCATTAAACTTTCTGGTTGATGCATTGGCGATGGTTAGCAACAAATGAGAACTTTTTTTTAAAAAAAGCCTTTTTTTATAGCATTTTAACTGTCCCTTGATTATAAATATTTATTTGGTCTTCCAGAGCTGTGGAATATTTGTATATTTGCTCTTGACATGCTACAGCCAAAATCCGTTTTGACTCAATAAATCAAAGTAAATTAGTGTACAATTTCCAGATTGACTTTTTCGGTAACTACACCACATCTATTGTTCCCTTTCGAGGGAACTCGCGATGCGTCACTTGACGCTTTGGGAACGCCCCCAGCGTGAATGCGTCTGAGCATCAATGTCAACTAGTCCAATGGAAAGAATGAGCGTCACGGGCGGGTGACGTCATGACCAGGAAGGCATAAGAGCACATCCGGTGAAACGCGGCATTAGCTTCTGTGTCTCAGCAAGCGATCTGTGTTACTCTGTCTCTGTCTATTTATTGTTGTCTGTTCGATATTATTGGGAAGAGTTATGGCGAAACAACTTTACAAACTCTGTGCTTCTCCCTGCCCGCGTTATTTAACGGGTGGGGACACACACGAGCTTTGTGTAGTTTGTTTGGGAGTGGAGCATGCGGTATCAGCCTCCGAGGGGGCTGATTGCAACATTGTGAGAAGCTTTCGCTTCGCATGCTCCACTCCCGCCTGTCACTTTTCGAGGAAAGTGGCCAGGCTCGCGATCCTCGGGGTGCAGGACACGCGTCTGCCGAGGCAGCGCGAAGAATGCATTCCTGTGGATCGCGAATAGGATCTCGTTACGGGTTTGGAGACAGGTCCGCGGATCTTATCTCCTCCCTTTCCACGAGGGATCCAGTGCTCTCTCTCCGGTCTCGGAAGCCCGCGCTGCGGTCTCTTCCGCCCGGGGAGAGAAATCAATGCTTCAGTGCTCTACCTCCGAGGAGGTAGATGTGCTGGGCATTGAAAGTGTACACAATCATGGGGGAAGTGGATTTGCCATCTCTTCCCCAGCGTATGAGAATTATATATAGCCTATATATATATATATATATGATAGTTTATATATTATATATAAAATAAAGTGTATATATATAAAGAATGTATATAAAAAAATATATATATATATAATAATAAGCTGGTGGAGGTGTTTACTGAGGCTGTAGATGAATTAAATATTTAATGGCCAGCAGAAATAAGGGGGCACTCGTCCTTAAAATAAATTGAACGAGTTTCCTTCCCTCTATTTTTCCACCTCCATCACGGGGCCTTCCATTTTTCCCGATCTGCACAGCGAGCTGTCTAGATCATGGAAAAAGCCTTACTCATTTTTTAGCCCCACATTCATGTATGTTCAGATATTTGGGGGTTAAGAGAGAATGGCTATGGGGCAATACCCCGGGTAGAACAGACACTTGCGAGCTATGTCTCCCGGTTCAGTATCGTCCCTGAAGGCGTCGGCTTCTCTCACTAAACCATTAAAGAAAACTATTTTTTAATCTAGTGGGAAAAGCATATATGACAGTGGGTCTAGCACGAGCCTGCTTGCACACTATAGCAGTGCTGCAAGCATATCAGGCTGACCTGCTGTGGTATTTGGACAGAAGTGAGGGAGTTTGGCCCGATGGGGTTTGAGAACTCCGTCGGGCCTCAGATTTATCTCTCAGGGATGGCAGCCAAAGAAATGTGGTCACTGAGAGACACCTCTGGCTCAATTTGATGGGAATCATGGAGAAAGATACAAGATAATCTCTCCCTCGCTATGTCCAACCCACTGGGGCTGCTGGGCGTGAGCAGCTCCAGCCGGCTAGTTTCTCATACACAACACAGCAGCCAAAGCCTTCAAAGCAGAAGCCGGATCCGAGGACCGTTCTTCATGCTGAGAAGGCTGCGGCTCAAAAGAAAAGGTCTGGCGCCACGGCGTCAGACCGGTGAGGGCAGCCCCAACCGGGGTGGAATGGTGTACACCTCATTATACGGTGCCCTTTCCATCTCTGTGCCCTCAGGGGACCGTTCTGCCAACCCCGCCACCCTTGGTGCTTCGGGGCGCAGCGTTCTCCAGCGAGCTTCTGGCGCAGCGTCAACTCGACATTGCGTCGGACTCGCGCCCTCTGAGGGGGGTTCGAAAACAGTCAGTTCGGGTGGTTCCTGCCAGTATGTTTCAGGTCCCCGAACTGGCTGTCTTTATTACACCAGAGGCCAGCCTCGAGGGGCTGGTTCCCTTGGTAGATTTTCTGGCAGCGCGGAAGCTACTGCCAAATATATCTCTATGGGTAATGGTAATCTCTCTGGTAATGGAGCAAGGGGTAAAGGCCCTGTTAGCAAAGAAAGCTATAGAGCAGGTGTACTCACCCGACATTGCGTCGGGTCTTTACAGTCGTTATCTCATTGTTCCAAAAAAGGATGGAGAGCAGCGTCACATACTAGATCTTCGTCTGTTGGAGTGTTTGGTGCTGGAACTCAAGTCCAAGATGCTGACACTCAAACAGATCGTGACTCAAATCAGATCCGAGGACTGGTTTGTCACGATAGATCTAAAAGACGTATACTTCCATATCTCCATCCTCCCTCAGCACAGGAGGTTCCTGAGGTTTTCTTTGGGGCAAAGAACACCAGTATCAGGCACTTCCTTTCGGTCTAGCTCTATCACCCCGCACGTTCACGAAGTGTATAGACGCAGCTCTGGCCCCGCCAGGCTGCAGTGTATACGCATTCTGAATTGCATAGATGACTGGCTGATTCTAGCGGAATCAGAACAGTTAGCGGTTCGGCACCGAGGTGTCGTTCTCGCTCATATGCAGATGTTGGGGTTGAGGCTCAATGCCAAGAAGAGTGTGCTTTCTCCAGTACAGAGAACCACTTTCCTTGGTGTGGTATGGGATTCAGTGACGATGCGGGCCACTCTGTCGCCCGTTCGTGTAGCTGCTATCCTAACAGCCACAAAAGAGCTGAGACTAGGCCAGTCACGCACTGTAAAACAGTTCGAGAGACTGTTGGGTCTTGTGGCAGTAGCGTCCAACGGGATACCTTTTGGCCTGCTGTACATGAGACCTTTGCAGTGGTGGCGCAGGACCAGATGGTTCTCCCCGAGGGGAAACCCACTTCGTATGATCAAGATCACGCGGCCGTGCCTTCGTGCCTTGGTTATATGGAGGAAACACTGGTTCTTAACCCAGGGTTCGGTGTTGGGAGCTCTTTGCCATCGAGTTGCTATCTCGACAGATGCTTCCCTCACCGGCTGGGGAGCGGTATTGGAAGGCCGCTCAGCTCAGGGCTTGGGAGGAGTCATCATCTCGCTTGGCACATGAATTGCCTAGAGATGATGGTCGTCTTCAATGCGTTGAGACATCTCCTCCCAGACCTGAGGGGCCATCATGTGTTGTTCTGAAACAGTGACTGTTAGGCCTCAGGGCAGCAGCGTTCAATGTGATACCCTTTGACCTGCTGTACGTGAGACCTTTACAGTGGTGGCTCAGGACCAGAGGGTTCTCCCTGAGGGGAAACCCACTCCGTACGATCAAGATCACGCGGCAGTATCCCCGCGCCTTGGTTATATGGAGGAAACTCTGGTTCTTGACCCACAGACAACACGTTGGTGGCCTATTATTTTGGTCCCTCAGGAAATTACGCTGTCTGAGGGCAGTGTATATTCCAGGGGGGCCAGAATATTGGAGCAGACACCCTGTCGAGGCAGGGGCTGAGGCCAGGGGACTCCACCCCGAGGCGGTGGAGCAAATATGGGAGTTTTATGGCCAGGCAGAAGTGGATTTGTTCTCGTCTCAGCATACGACGCACTGTCCACTCTGGTTATCCCTCACTCAACCAGTCCCCACGGGGCTGGTTGCTATGGTGC